AACAATAATTAAGAACTATTTATTTATTGAGTTTGATCTTTATTTATTCTTGATCACAGATTATTGATAATTAGTCAGTCAGTCAGCTACATCGTAGGACCAGGCACATTTATGCATCGGTCCAAGTTACCATACTGATGATTAAAGTGATTTTGATTTCGTCAAACACTATATGAGAAGTGTGGAGATAAAGAGATTTCAACTAACTTGAATTTGATTGAATTTATTTTTTTATTGATTGTTTCAATATTCCCATTGATATTTAGGACTGGAATTGATCAGTCTCTTATAAGTATATGTACTTCTTGTGAGGACTGCTTCGATATTATTTGAAATCATAAACATTATAAGTCAACATCTATTCCTGCTTATAATGCTTGTGACTTCAAATAATATCGAAGCAATCCTCACAAGAAGTACATATACTTATAAGAGACTGACCAATTTCAGTCCTAAATGTCAATGGGATAATTGAAACAATCAATAAAAAAATGAATTAAAACTTCACCCCATTGGACAAGGTAGTAGCTATCAGAGCTCAGTAACTAAGTGGAAAACATTATGGCGTTTGAAGCGAACGGTACTAGGTTCCAGTCTCGGAGTGAATATCAACTCTGGAGTGCGGGTAAATTCAACTAAAGAGTCCCGAATAAGATGAAACGTACGTCCTGGATTCCACTGCCAACCATTAAACTTTGTAAAATTTGATCATTATCCATCCAACTTTATTTGTTGTAATTGACCGAATTTGATTATCTGAACTATTGTTGAAATTCTAATCAATGATGACATTTCTGTGATAAACTTATGGTACTTTATTCTTAGGGCTTTCATAGCACTTTCTATTTGCGTCATTGCACTTGTTTAGTCTTTTTTTGTTGTTGAAGGCGACTCTGAAAGTGTTTCATGATCAGGCTATTCAGATGCTTGAACATTACACGGTTTGTCTTCATACCAGCCCAGTACTGTATATAAATTCTGGTGGGGAAATGAAATCGTATGTGTTTAATCTGTTTAACAGGGACAGTGATCTAAGGTGTGCTAAGTCTGAAGCGATTACGAGTTCACCTAGACTGCGAACGGAACAAAGATTTCTAACCAAAGACCAATAACCTAGCTATTCTGAGGCGTCCTAGCCCTGCTAACCAGAAAAAGAAGTCGAACTCCGGATGTAGAATAAATATATTCTGCAAGCAGCGATCCAACAGGCATAAATTAAACGTATATATATATAACATGAAACTGTCCTTGGGAAGCGTTACAAAATAGCGTACTAGAAGATAAAACGGACCAATAGCGTTTAGGATTATCCCAAGTAGGAAATACGACATGAAGGTGAAAAGAGCGCTTTTGCAGCGAAAGCAAAGACATTCAAAATTTCAAAAATAAGATATTTACCAAGTGAGTTCTGGTACGGCCGAGAGTGGAGAGAGTCTGCTCTCCCTCTCGAAATGCTCTCACATGGCCAGCGAATATGTAGCCTCTGCCAGGGAAGTCCTACTCACTGCCTTCTCGTGGTGGGGGTGTTGTTCACAAAAGTGAGAGGACGAAAAGCGAATGTCCGGAGCTTTAACCGGGTTGGTGGACACGGTGGGTCCACCTAGGGGAGTTGGAAAACCCTCATTCCAAACCAATGGTGAACATGAGCTCCAGTATCCTGAGGGAACAAATGGCGCACAAATCAATCGTTGATCACCGGCTACCATGGGAATGCATCTCCTCACGATGCTCCACTGCCTTGTGGACCAGATCTTTCGGTCAAAGGCTCCGGGTGTGGGCCCCTAAGAAAACCACCTGCTTCAGTTTGGGCACCTGGGCAGTATCACAGCCCTCAAGCAAATCGAATGAGATTTGTGAGGCGCATATGTATCTGGTGTTTCCTTGTACCATATTTATGTGTTTAAATAAATAAATAAAATAAGTGAGTTTCGGGGATCTAGCATCCTCAACAAGGTGATGGTCAGAAAATGGGTCGGAAATTTAAAATGAAAAGGAATCATTACAGGTAACACTAACGAAATAGAAATTTACGTTTACTAATAGCTGATCGGAAAGGGAAGACCAACGTTGGGATGATCGAAGCTAGTGGAAACTTACTTCAAAAGATGTAAACAACTAAATGATTTCTAAGAAATTGAAGTAACGAATGATTAGTTAGCATCGAAGATTAAGTGTCTTGCCTCTATACTATCATGAAATCTACGACATTTGAAAAATGGAAAACTTGAGGTATTATGTACAATACACATGGGTTGATTCTCAATTGTTATGGCAACATATGCCATTCTCCACGATCGTACCATCGATTTTACAAAATTATTTAATGCTATACATAAATCTCACAATTTGACTCGTTAAGAATCACAATGACTAAATTAAATTTCTTGATTGCAGGAAAGAACTACTGAAGTGATTGCTTTACGCGACAGAATTACTAATGCAGAAGAGCGAGCTGAAATGGCTCAACGTGAAGTAGAAAAAGTAAGAGAACGATTGGCTGAAACAGAACGAGAAGCAAACCGGCTATCTAGAAGTTTATCGGCTGAGAGATTTGAGAAAGAACGTGCTCTATCTGAACTAAGATTAAGCAGTTTACCAGCAGGTTATAGACCTTCAGGTTATTCAAGGTACAATACTTTTATTGATGTCTTAATGATTTATAATGTTTGAAATCGTTTTTTACCTGTTTATATGTAGACTTATAAGTTACGTTTAGATGAAGAAATATAGACATCTGGTGGTGATAGCTACTTTGAATCCCGTTTGGAATGCTAGTTTATCAAGTTTTAACTGAGTGTTCATGTAATGAATAAACACATAAAACGCAGTCCGTAATGGGACAATGTTATTAACTGCTAAGCTGGTCGTTTCCTTGTATATATCGGTGTAGTTATGAGTTAAGTTCAAGCCGGATCCGTCTACAGATGTTTCATAAGTGGATTCACCATATTCCTAACCAAAGTCTTCTAATGTATACACATCTGGTTAGTTTGTCATAACCCTTTGAAATTATGTAGTACATTTCAAGGTTTTTTCACGAACAGATCTTCACATTATTACTTCCGTCTTAATTTTCGACTAGTATTTCACATCTTTTATTCTAACTGATTATGTATATGATCGACAAATGTAACTACGCTATAAATGTCTGATGTATCGACAATTCATAAAGGAACAAATAGCTGAAGTTATTGGGACAACATAACACTAATCACTAGGAATGAGATAACGCATATTTTACGATAAAAAAATGAGAATCTCTTCAACCTTACACTGGATACTGTATTAAATCAATCAGTCACTAAACTGGTCACCTGGTTGTATAACACTTATATTCATTACTGAATCAATGACCAGGAAGTATACAATACGAAGAGATTGATTTTGAATACAGTGATCTTGAGTGCTGTTAGAGGTATGAGGGCAGCTATCACCCTCCGGTTGCACACACCGTGGGTTCTTCTGGTGGTACAAGAAGAAGAGATTTGATTAGGCGTAGTCATAGTGATTTCAGAGCGTGACCGCAGTGCCCAAAGGACAACTGCTTGAGATCGGTCACGCACGACCTTTTTGTGTTAGCTCCATACTTGTTGGGACCTTACCGCTGTAGATGGATATCCGTGGGATAAGGTGAAGTGTGCATCCTTAGGGTAGACCTTTTCTGATCACATCCCTCCCTGTGGGAAGACAGCATCGCTGTTATGCTGGTTATCTGATGGAAACACCTTACCGCTGTCACACCTCTGTACAGTCAGCAGTACAACTTCGCCTTCTGTTTGCTGCTTTTTGTCTTACCGCTCTTCAAGTGACCTGTCTGGCACGATGGGACCTTGAGGAATGATTGTTCCATCCAGTATAGTTCAATTGGTTCATCACGATAAGCAAGCCCGACCATCACATTAAGGTAGCACCAACGGTCGGGAATTAGGCTCAAGATCTTCAGGTCGTTCCATAAACACAATACCCTTAGACAAGTGAGCACGGGTTATGAGTTATTTACTTTATTTTCCGAAATAAGTTCAAAATTCTCAACTACGAAAATAATACTTCTCTCTTGAATTTAATCTTTTAGTTTAGGAGGAACATATTACCCGGGTACTTCAGTCAGTCGAGATCGTACGGCTTATCAAGAAAGAGATGATTATTGATTATGGTATTGTTAAAATCTCCTATAAACTGCTTTTCAAATCGTTATATGAAATGTTGTTCTGTTGACCGTTTGTTATTTCTTCGACAGTTTTGCTTTTTCATTACTATTTCACTAAATTTTATGAAATTTATACATGTGATTATATCAGACACAAACCGGATAGGATGATTCTTATGTAAACTTTTATACGAAATAAAAAAAAGCATCTAACAAGTTTGGATTTATGAATTTGGTTTGTTCACTTATTACCTTAAATGTACTTGTGAAAGAGAATCACTAAAGCATTACTAGAAAAGTTTGTTCAGTTAAAGAATCTACTTTATGCAATCAAACAATGCAAATGAAGATCATAACACAAGACAGAGTATGTTCAAAACCTGGTAACTTAACTGCTGACAGTAGAATTTATAAACCAATAAGTTATAACCTTATCAACGAATAATATGACTCTCGGAAACCATTTATCATTTAAACACAAACATTGATACAATGAGGCACAAATATACATGCGCCACATATCATCATTCCATTTATGTGAGGGCTGGAATACTGCCTAGGCGCTCAAACTGAAAAACGAAATTAAATAAATCCATCCTTTTATCTACATAAATTTAAAAAATGGAATGTTTCGATTAAAAACATTTCACAAGGATATTTAAAACTGATAAGGGAACCTAGAAAAATACACACATGTAACCTTTGCCTGTGACCCTTAGTTTATGTTGTAGAAAAAGGACGTTCTAGTGACACAGTTTAATGTACAATATTATACACATTAGAATATATGTAAAGAATAAATATTAATCCAAGAATAATTTACGGTAAAAATATCATAGGTGGTAATTTTTTGTTAAGCCCATATATCTTCTTGAAATCGTCCTGTTTTACGCATTCCTTCTACATATGCTCGGGCATCTATGAAATCATCTTCAGGTATGGCCGAATACTTACACCATTTCTGTGTTCGTTCATAATAAAGTCGCATAGCAAGTAGTCTCAGCCACGACTCATATACTCCCAAAGCTAAAGCACGTGTTCCTCCACAAATCATTATTTTAGCACCCCTCTCGAAAACAAGATTCATCAGTTGAATATCATGCTCGGATACTTCATAATCAGTAAAATATTTATAAAGGACACAATCTTGAACATACTGTGCTTTGAGTGGAAAACAGGCTTGTTCAATTAATATTGACGAGATTTCTTTAAGTGCATACTTTTCATCTCGAGAATTTACAGTGTCTCTTGAAAAACAGAGGCAAAGATGTGTCAATACTTTAGAATTTACTGCATCTGATAGTTCGTTTTCAAACAGGAGACTAGACGTTGGAGAACGACAGCCATACATCAGCCACAAATCTCCAGTAGAAGTATTTTTCTGAAACAAGATCACAATACAAAATTTATCCAGTTGTATGTATCAAAATTAGTTAATGATTAACTAATATTTTGAGTATGCTGATTTAATACAAGTTTTATGGCATTTGGAGATGATCAACTGAGTGGATGTACTGAATCTTATCATGAAGATTTCCATGGAAAAACATTATATCAACTTGTCACATGGGAAATGTTACGATAACATAATTGATTTATTTAACACACAACCACCAATACATTGTAAACAAATATTGATTTGTTACATTTGAAGGTTCTATTTACTTGCACAACGTATTAAGAGATAGGGTTCAAATTATGTCTGATTTTTTTCAATACTGAAATTAAATAGGATTGCATCTTTCAGAATGATTACGAAACTAATAATAAGTAGTAACCTTTTAAATTGTTGGAAATTTCCGGTTAATAAACCGGAATAGAAAAGAAAATGTAAGTTTAGGAGTTGAGTCAGAGAGATAGTATCTCGTTAATCATGGCTCAAAGTTGAGTACACGGAGCTATATTTGGTTTCTGATCAGGATTGACGTTATTACAGGTCTAACAAATAAATGTAAATTCACTTCGTAGTTATGAACCACACAAATTAAAATATGCAGAAAAGGAATCATTTGTGTAATTTTATATTATAGGAATAAGAATAAATAGATATCTCACCTTCAGGTTATCAATTTTACGTTGCCTTATGAAGCTAATAAATGGTGCAATTCCACTTCCGGCAGAAATCATTATAACGGGTTGAGAGATATGATCGGGTAAATAAAATTGTGTAATATTTTTACGTAAATATATGTATATAATCCGAGATTCAACATTGTTGAAATTAATTTTCTGATAGTCATCAGGTTGATTAACTCCAAACCATATTTTTTCAAGCCAACCGGTACAAGTGCCATGACGTCGTGGTGGATAACGATCAATAAAACTTACATGCTTATCACTTTCAGGATATTCAAAATCCACTCTAGTGAAAATAAAAGACAGTTCTTGTTCACGAGATAATTGTTCATCAACTGGATTAATGAGTGTATATGAACGTGGCTGAAGAGTTGGTAGAATTTCTAACAATCGAATAAATGATGGTCGGCAACATGAAAATATAGACAAAATATCCAAGAGATTAAGATCAGGTTTTTGTATGTATCTGAAAACAAGATTAACAGAAACTGATAAATAGCCATTATATATTGATATTTTAAGTAACAAGTAAATAGATTACCTACAAACATAAACTCTTTAAGTTTAAAAAAAGAGGAATATTTGAGTGAACAATTATTTTCAATAACTTCATCATCAGGCTCTACAGTTGTAATTCCATAATGACTGTGATATTTTACAAAGGCCAAAATGAGGCACGTAATAATTAATTTGACAATGTACTCGCTTCGGCGGTACATATACTAAAATTGGAACGATACAGAGAAGATTAGCATGGCCCCTGCGCAAAGATGACACGCAAAATCGTGAAGCGTTCCATATTTTCTTTGCCCCCAAATGCCCTGGTACGGTCGAGAGTGGGGAGAGTCCGCTCTCCCTCTTGAAATGCTCTCAACTGACAAAATGAGATTCTCCTACTATGAATTTTATTCACACGATTTTTTGCATTTTCATTTTTGCTATATTACTATCATACTGATTGTGACTGAACGCTTTACTCCAAATCATTTTGACCTTTATTAAATGAATTTTCTAATTTACAAATAACACAATTTTGAAATATATATGTCGTAAGAGATGAAAACGTTCCACCAGTTCTGACATATAACATTGTCAAATTAATTAATACATGCCTCATTTCTGGCCTTTGTAAAATATCATAATTATGGAATTATAACTGTAGAGCCTGATGATGAAATTATTGAAAACAACTGTTTGTTCAAATATTCTCCAATTGTAAATATTCTATGGGGATCTTTAAGTTTAGTTACTTTAAATGTATTGTGAACTGGGACCGAGGAAAACATCATTATTTTGATCATATCACTTCGACACTATCTTGGTGTGGGTTTTAATATTCGATAACAAGTCCTACCACGATGGATCTATAAATGGAAACTTGCATTAGGACACTAGGGATCGGTTTCTAACGACGTCTACAAAACATAATTGATGAAATATAAAGTTAGACTGAGATAACTAAAGCTTATTGTAGAACACTCAATAAGCATCATTCATCCTTATAAATTCTACATATTTCTTGACTCTTCTTCGTTTAGTTCATTGATGTTTTTCCATGCTTAGGAACCTTAAACTACTTTTGCTTTCGGTTATAGATTGGACTATCATCCAGAAGAATGGTTGTAAATATGATACTTACTTTTCAAACATTTTCTTCCCTTCTTCACTGCAGAATTCTAGAAGTCGGTTACGTTGTCTTTCTGCACTAACAGGGTTGACGTTGTCATCAAAACAATAATCTGCTAACAATCGTAAAATCCGACGTGTTATGGGTATATACAGTTCACAGCAATACGTTAATAAATATCTTAATGAAAGTGGACAAGTAAAATGAGACCATTCAGGGAGACTTCTATGCTTTGTAGCTATTACTTCATGAGTGAAAAGTGTATCAGCATCATGCAGACTACCCAACGTTAAACGCTGTAACAACCAGGCCACGGTTTGAGTGTTATTTTCAGGTAATATGGAGATGCTATCACCTGGACGGTAATCTAATGTCTTCCCAGACTTAAGTCTTAAAGTTGCTCTGCAAAATAATAAAAAAACACTTGAAAAAAAATCGGAAACCACTGAGAAACGTTTCGTATTAATGTCATAGTTATAAGGTGGTTAGGAACAATTAGCAGGTCTTGGATTTCAATTTTGTGTTAATCGTCACTTGTTGGTAAACTAGACACAAAACCTAGGTCCACAGCTTCCTGCTGATTAGCCCCAACAACTTAACATTAAGGATAAGTCGTACAGCGATGTCGAGTCATTTATACCACGTGGAAAATAGGCGATAGATAGAATTCAGTCAGGTTTAAGACTTAGGTTGATTATAACTAAGTGATTAAATCAAATAAGATTTGTGTGGCGCATACGTATCTGGTGCACTTTTGTACCAATGTTTATGTGTACAAATAAATAAATAAATAGATTGCTTAATGCGTGTTGTACAGAGAAGTCAGAACATCTCAAAACTGAATTCGGACCCCTCTAATTTATTGAGTGATTTATTTGAACGGCGTCACAATCTTGAGTGTAACATTGACACTGATAGCTAATTGCACGTCACAAGAATGAGTTGAATGTAAGCTTAAAGACAGTAATACGGCAATTACTACTAACTACCACCTTAAAGTGTATCTTTATGTTTAGTTGCTTTCAAAAGTATTTTATTTTGAAATAATATTTGGCTCATAGTTGAATAAGCTGACCTGTACTTGATTACAAAAAGGTAAGGTCATTGAACTATATCACAAAGTGTTCTTTATTGTGAGTAGTTATTAGTCAGACGGATGACTCGGAAGTAAATTATTAAATACTAAGAACAAATTGAAGTATTATACATCTGTTCGCAGCAGCATTACAGACGTATGACTATAACGTTCAACATGACACACACAATCTTAAAAAAACTACTCCTTTAGTATGGATTTATTCAGAGTAGTGAGAAAGAAATGCTTTTGTGTTTCAAAACGTCTAACAAGACTGATCAGATTTAGTGGGGCAATAGGTCGACAAAAATAGGATAGGTTGAAGTCGGATACTGAACAATGATGTTTGAAATTAATAAATTTGCCACGGTTAATAACCTTACTGATAAACGGTCTTTGCGTTTCCTTTTGTAAGACATGTGAGGTTAGTGAACTGTACAGCCATAACGTCGCCACGTGAAAGAGGAGGAGAACCAAAGGCATGATCGCCAACAAACAAGCTTTGCTCTTTACAGACTTTGTAGTTGAATAATGGCGATGCTTTAGGAGGAAGTCTCAAATTGTTTATATCCCACGATTTTTCAAATTCATCGCCTAGCAGATAATCAGCTGTATTTTTAACATTATCATCATGAATACATTGATTTTTGCTGTGTTGTTCATTTGAATTCAGACTAAGATTTTCTGTTGACTGGATGACGCAATTTATGTCCATCTAGGTGATTTACAATAGAAACGGAAACCAAAGATGAGTAAGGATTGAGTAAAAACGATTTTTTTGAAAATTGAACTTCATGGAAAAGTGCCACAACACAAATTCAATACAATCAGAAAGTGGACATCTCAATTCTGGCCAAAAGCCAAGTGTGTTGTCTGGGGAGCTATGGCATTTTTATTGGTCCTTAAGACCACGAATGAAGTGAGAAGTGAAGAAAAATGATGCTACCGAAGAATAGGTATACCCTGTGTACCTTAGATAATTCTAAAATCGTTTGAAAAAATATAAGTGCATACAAAATACTTAATCTGAAGGCTATCCATAATGTGAATTTACAGTAGGTATTTGGGTAAAGGTATAAAATAAGTACCAACCAGTAGTACTTTGAATTACGGACAGAGCAGTCAAATCTAGAACGGGAACTCTGGAGTATCAGCGCGAAACTTATAAATTAATACAGTTGATTAGCGCTTGGGCATTTTAGTTGATATCATTTTGTGGCAAAAACGAGTTTAGTCCCGAACCTTAGCTTCGAGTTCGAACTCCGAATCCTAGTTCTTCACACAGATTTGAAACCCTATTCCGACTATAACAAGCGATGAGTTTCTCAAGGACGCTTTGGTATCGTTTATACGTGAGACTAGTTTCATCAATTGTCTATCTTCTTGAATCCGAAAAAACTTTTGGGAGTCCTCTCAATGTTCCAAACCAGAATTTGACATTAGAATTAAGATTACGAGTCAAATGTTGGAGTTTTCAGCCTGAACCGGCATAAAATGTAATAGAAAAATGCCACTTGGACATACAGATGAATGTTACCAAAAAAAATTAAAAAGTAGCTATTATGTTGGTCCACCTTTAAAAGACTATTATCAAGTTTATTAGACTCATAATGTGGATTTGTTTAACCTTCGCATCATTATTTCGTTTACCATGAAATATTCATTCACACAAAGTGTTCTCTGATTGATTAGGAACCAGTTAAAAATCCGTCATCGTTATTTTGACTTCGTTTCAATATTGCACTCGGTAAAAGTAAACTGCAGTGACAACTTTGAGCAATCAGAAAATCAAGAAGCACCGCGTAATTACAAACCAATTAGCAATAAAAAAGGAACAAGATAACAGTCGGACAGCAGCTTTGATATCAATTATCAGCCCTTACATGTCGAATTATTACTTGTAGTAAAGGAAGATTGGGTTTCATATAACAAGTCGGGTGAGACTACAATCTATGGACAACCAATAAGTGACGCCAAAGTGACCTTGAGAGTGTCTACCTACTAACTAGGGCTAAATGAGGGTTATAAAGCAGTTTGAAGAATAAGGATTATGATTTAAAGTAGATGGTTAGGAATTAGATTTAAGATTTTTCATTACAAACTGACATCAGCTAAAGTGCCGAGACGCTATTCGGTCAAATGGGTGGGTAAATTTCGCAAGATCCAAGATCTGTTATCCTAAATCTAATTGATTTGTCTATAAATTATAGACTCGCCTGAAGTCAGAGTAATGTTGGGTAAGAGACGTGACACCGAACGTTTTTGTCACCAACTCACATCAGTTATAATACAAAGAACTTAGTGTCAGGTATTAGGAGTGAAGGGAAAGACAATAATTTATGCACGAGCCACTAATACTTCAATCTTACACATACTCACACACACGATTCTTTCAGTCATTTATTTCCACATCGTGGACTTTACACATGACTCGCATCCTACTGGCTCATGTTATCCTATTTACTAAAATCAACAACCAAGTATGATTGGATTAGCACAGTATAGATTTGATCTGGTTTGATTGTTAAACGCTACATATTTCTTTGATGATTTTGACTATCACCTTGAGGGAGTCCATCCAAGTTTGCTGGTACGAAATGTTGGAATTATTTGAATTTCAATCGCTGAGATTATTTCAAACATAATTTTCACATGTCATAGTAAATAATTTTTTATAGTCCATTTTGGCGTGATCCATATGACATCTGTTTGTCATGTTCACAATGTGATAAGCTGAAAATCTAAGTTTTTAAAATTAGAATACTACCTAACCTCACTGAACACTCATGGTTAGGTACTAAATCACACCAGGTACTTTAACATACAACATCCCTTAGGAGCATTTACACCTCGGTAGGATTAAACTATACTGCCGACCTTTGAACGAATCTTAAATGACCTTGAGAATATTAGCCAATCAAAAGACAGTTGATATACAGTAAAAATAAATCATACAAAACCAAAGAATTAAAGTGGAAACACCTCCCTTACATGTGTCAAAAACTTCTCAAGGTCAGATATAGGTTCAGAAGTTCCAAAATCATGGTGCATACGGTACAGGAACACATCCATATGGCTCCATAGTAGTCAACCTATGAAAACATGATAAGATCTCAAAAATTCTTTTAGCCCCGACCACATAGCTTCAATAATGTTAGTATATTGGTATGGTTTACGGGTTAGGGTTAAGGGTGAGACTATAAGTTATGGACAACCTTTGAGCGACGCTAGAGTGACTCTGAGAGTGTCAACATAATAACTAGGACCAAATGAGGGTTATAAATCTGTGTGAGGAATTCAAATTATGATTTACAGTTCATGAATAAGGATAGGAATTATAATTAAAGTTTTTATCACGAACTGACATCAGCTATAATGCCAAAACTCTATTTATACAAATGCATAATTGAATTTCGCGCCAAAATCTTATGATCACCTCTCTTGTAGATGCTAAAGTATCACCTCTTCCCTAAAATCCGCTGTAAACCGACCGTACGTAAGCATCATGTGCCGAACTTAGCGCCGTGACCTTGAAAAACCGAGAAAGCTTCTGATTGGCTCGGCAGTATAGTTTAATTCCACCCAAATTAAAAACGAATTTCGAGTTTTAACTTCTTCGGAAGTAACGTATAAGTTATGTCGACGGCCAAAATAAATTAATAAGATGATAATTCATTTATCGCAAAAGATGTGTAGTACTTAATAATGTACAAAAACGTGAATAAACAGATAATGAATTTCGGACATTACTGTAACTGTCAGGTGCAGACGTTTAGGTTTTTGATCAGGAGATCTACAATTATGATAAGTAACTATTTCCAAATACGGTTCGTAATTCCAAAGTATATCAAAAACAATTTTAAAATGAATACACAAATAAAGTCTATGAGTGAACATGGCAATCACATTATTATCATGTCATTGTGGAAACTTAATAAAATAAGGACATTGTGTATGAATGCCAGTGGTCCTGTGAGCAAGTATCACATGCAAGCACAGACCAAAACGGTATCGGAAAACCCAAGGCCAGGATTAAAACAATAATTCCTATATAAGAAGAACATTAGCAAGTGGAATGTCTCTGTGCCCCATCCAAATCATATAGCAGTCAGGTCACTGAATGTCATACGGTTTGTTGATCTTTATCAAGTTCAAGGATTACCAACGCTCATCGATCAATTCCATATCATGAGTCGACGGTCACACACTGTTTCTTGTATTCATTTCCACTAATACATCTTTGTAATAACGTTTTCTTTTACGATGTGGTCATCAAATTAGCCGTACTGTCTGGATGAGAGTTAAAGGTAATCCACAAATAGTATCAACCACGTCGCTCAACCTCAACATGGGGGGAGTTCACTAACCCGATCAACTCGAGTAGGTTCGAAACAATTCCCATAGTTTTCCTTTGTTGGTGGTCTATAAATTCAAGACGGTTGGTATTTCGTGTTCTCACTCCATACGCTTACAGATTTTCGTTGGTTAATGCACCAGTGTACACTCAAGAATTCACCACTGATGATGAATCTGTATCGTGCTCAGTAAGACTGGATAGCACATCGAGGTATCTGGTCAAAGTCATCTACAGGAAGCGCATTGTTGACACCGAGCAGGGCAATAACATCTTGGTGAATTTTCACGCTCTAATCGTCTCGACTACATTGGTATCCTGGTTCTAGCGGACTACAATTTTCCTAAAGTCAACTTCACCAGGCACACGTACATTGTAGATGACTACCCTACCGAAGCCCAGTTCATCAAACTCATTGAAAATTTGGGATTACTCGAAAATGTGTTGACAACTCTCTGAAGAAATACTATGACGCGATCAAGTTTAGACTGCGTGTTTACAAGCGAGGAAGAAATTGATCATGCCTCTACTGCCTTCAATCTTATCCACAAAACTGAGTCGGGGCATCCCACTAACAACATGAGTTGAAGTTACATACTAGTCAGTCAAAAGCAGATGGGCTGAGAAACCCACATCAACGTGATGCGAACTCTCGTTGACATTTGTTACTGAACACGGTATCAGTTCGTCCCGAAAACGGTCCACAAAAGTTTCCAGCAACCTAAATACACCAATAATCAAACTCTTCGATTGCTAGCATACAAAAGGTGAAATATAAACAAACTAGTGATAACAGCACATACAGGAAGTTCAAACGAGCAAGAATCCGATTCACAAAGGTAATAATAAAAGGCAGGATGCTGTATCAGAATAAGCGAGCTGACAAATCTGTCTTCAATACAAAAATATCATTCTGAAATACAGCCTCTTTTAGACGAACTAAACAGCAATTTTCCTATCAGAAAGTACTAGTGTCCCAACCACCGACGACAATGATGCCGATGACCTTCTGACAGAACACTACTTTCAAACATTTCAACCATCCCGAACTAACTATATCGAAAGCTTCGCCTATCAGAGGTGAGCCTGAGCGATGATTCAATGTATCAGAAACTGCAGCACATAACTAAGGACACTTCTGTTATTTACATCTTTCATTCTGCCACGGTGAGTAAAGCGATTTCAAAATTGGCAACAATATTTAATGCGATGTTCATACGTTCGCTAGTCGAAGGCATGGTACAAGAAAATTGTAAACCAATCTTAAAACGTCAGTGCAACTGACCTACAAGCTACCGGGCTGTTTTGCGGTGGTCCACATGTCTATTTACAATCAATAAACTACTTTCCACTCACGCAATACGGTTTCAGCAGGGGTCGTTCTTGTATAACCAACTTATTGACCGCAGTTAACAGATGGACAGCCATCCTTCATCACAAGGAGAAAGTTAATGTCATACACTTTGACTACTCAAAAGCATTTGGTAGTGTTAACCATACATATCCTACAAACAAACTCAATCGAGTAGGTATCAAGTCACCAATAATTTACTAGCCTAAGTAGTCGACTTTTTGAGGTCAGAGTAAGCCTCACTTCTACTCAGGCTACAGGGTGTCCAAATGGGTTCATTCAGAGTTTGAAACTAGAATCTATTTTCTTAATTTACATAAGCGACCTTCTTAGGCATGTTTCGTCTCACTCATCACTTTTCACTGATGATGCGTAGATTTGAAGTAAAGTTTGTTACCAAGATAGGCAGCTTGCGCCCCAGGAAAATCTGACTCGACTTCGCACTTCAGCGGACAACAATGGACTTAACTTCAACATCTCAAAATTTAAATTGGTCGAGCTGAGACATGTTTGGGGCTGCGGATACATCTTACTCAACTCCTCGCTAGAACTATCTCGAGTTGATAATATCTAGGAGTGTTGGTACCTTATGTTCTGAAGTCTCCCACAAACTGCGACAAAAATGCCTTTCGAGCAAACCACGCGCTAGTAAAGTTGAAGCTCATTTTTGTTCACTTCGACAGCAAAACTTTCGACTTGATCTTTAGCAGTATTATTCCACTACACTTGGAGCATGGAAATATAACGTTTTATCCATCAGTCCAAAAGGATTATGACACACTGGGACCTAAAGTATCCTACACACGTCTAGTTATGCCTTAAGCACCTACTTAAGCTCAGCCACAACATAAAACTTGTGGGTAATACTCAGAAACTGAAGAAACAACAAAGTTGAACGGACTGTAGATAACTCTTCTACTTCTTCGGAGCAGTCAAATGCTGGAATTTAATGTTGACTGAGCTGGTTCTCACGATTTTCCAGGAGTACTTTATGATAGGACGTGACATATTCATAAGGACTAAGGACAGCATCTCGGTATAACTCAGTATTAATTTATCTCTTTTATTGTTAAATATACCTAGGTTCTAACGTGTGTAAGCCAGTCAGGCGAAAGATTCTTCTATTCCATCCAGAATCATTTGAATGGAAAAAAAATTAATCCAGCTCACATGAAGTGTAGTACAAATGTGGGTCATCTGAAGCATCACCAAAACACAGAGTGAAACACGGCATTAAAACTGGCTTACAAGTAATTCTGAGAATGAAACACTGTCCGATTAGTGCACGTGTCGGATTGGTTACCAAGTAAATGGCGGGAAATATGTAACTTTCTACACTTTGACCTTGAGCACATCAAAATGTCTTTGAGATTTCGCTTATTATATGAAGTAAAGGTAAGCTCAGTGTTTCAGGAACTATGAATGTCAGTGATGTGTATAATCATCTTTATATTTTGCGACTGTACGAAATTACTTACAATAGGTGCATAAATACAATAATATTCTTGTAGTTTGCTGTAGTAATTACGAATCAGGTCATATTGTGAACTGTATCATACAGCAGGCAAAGGCAGAACCAAACTACTACAGATCAAGATGATTTTTTTCTTACATTATATATATACATGTGTTCAAGAAAAGCTTAATTCCAATGATTTGAAAATTTGACTATTACATAAATTATCAGAGGGGGTTTTGTGGAGATTTAGTATTTTTCATAGTTTAAAGCATGAGTCAATTGAAGCTAGACCACCATGGAAAACCTGGACGGCCGTTTCGTCCTAATATAAGACGAAACGGCCGTCCAGGTTTTCCATGGTGGTCTAGCTTCAATTGACTCATGCTTTAAACTATTACATAAATGATATTTATTGTTATTCTAAACTTCAAATGGGTGAAAAAATGTTATTACTGACGTTTTGTTTACCATCATCAGTTCATAGTATCACTTGACCCTACTATTTTAAGAGGTTTACACACGATGGTAATGAGTGAAAAAGAGGAACTAAAAAGAACTAGCTAAAATTCTTAAAATAAGTAAGTACTCGAAAAATCTTGCTCCGAAAAAAAACAGAATGATATTAAACATGATCGAAGAATTGCTAATATTCTGAACTACAATAGTCATCATTCTATAAAGATCACATACATCAGATGAGATCGAAGGAATACCAAACAGGTGTAAAACCAGTGTATTTAGGATATCAGAGACACCAGAAAGCAACTTTGTTCATGTTAAAGATAAAATACCTGGGGATTTACAACCTCATCTTGCCTATAAAATAAAATGTTCAAACCGTGACAAACTTCTGATATCATGATTAAAAAATCAACATCTTAGAGCAGCTGTCCAAAAAATCGAAAAAC